CCCGCTGTCGTCTTTTCTCTCCACTTTTCCACCTTTATCCTCTCTCCTTCTGTCTTTAGTCCTTCCTTTTCACTCTTCATATCTCTTTCCACCTCCTGATTATCAGTCACCACTGCCATTGTTTTGAGCTTTGGGTTTTCCTCCTCCACTCCTACCACCCTGACACTTATTCAGTCTTTCTCTGCCCTTAAAGCATTGTTCCGGCTTTTTGCTGGTCACTTGATCTTAGCCAAAAGGCCGAGATGCTGATGGGAACCTACCACAAAGATAGGTTAGTGCAGAATAAGACATCAGCATACTGATGAGAACCTGACATAAAGCTAAGTTAGTACAGCCTATCTGAATAAGATAGATTCTCATTATGCTCAGTCCTCCTCAGTGCCGGCTTGTTTTCCACTCGTAGTGAACCACTACATCAAATACATTTTGGTTCCCTCTTCACTCCCACAGCTGAGCTGTGCCTTTCTTTCCCATGTCCAATGATTCTGATTTCTTCACCAGCCTTAAAGTCTGGCAAACATCACTAAACATCAATGTAGATGAGAGGCTCTCTCGGTCTGTCGCATATGACCACTGTGACCTCATCCTCCATGGGGTGGATCTGGATCAGGCAGCTGTGCACCTCATCTGCATATAAATTTTTGGAGGATCCCAGATCTCATGAACAAAAACAAGAAGTTCCAGTCACAAAGGTTGGAGGGATGGTGGGTAATTAGCACCTGGATCCTTTGCGGCGGGGACTCGCGCGCGCACACACACACACACACACACACACACACACACACACACACAGTTGTGCTGGGCTGTGGGGGTCACCACAGCTTGAAGTGCTGTTGACTCTGCTGGCTCCCCAGCCCAGTGAACTATATGATAAATCATGAGCTTTTTGGCTCTGGGCTAATATCATGCCCAGGTTGTACTATGTATAAATAGGTACAAAAGTGCTCCCCAAAAGTGACTTTATGGACTCCCTGTGCTGAAATTTACAGCAGTTTGCAACAAGTTAAAGATGATCAGTTTCGGATGAACTAAGTCTGTAGGTACCTACAGTGATTTGCATATATGGGCATGTTTATTTTAAAGTCAGTGTCTTTCGATCCCTTATATTTCAAATTAACAAGGTTTCCTATATAAAGGGTCTCCTGCTCCACCCTCTGATTGTCCTCTGCAGCTTCTGCCCCCCCCTTCCCCCGCCCCCACTGCTTCTCCCCTGTCCTGTCACATGCATCTCAGAGCCCAAGCAAAGTATGAAAGTAAGGCAGGTGAGGGGAGATGGGGCAGAGGCAGACTGCAGGGAGCAGGGGGGAAGGGGCAGAGATTATGGAGAGTAGGAGGGAGGGACAAAAACTATGGGAAACTGGGGGTGGGGGCATGTTGGTGGCAGGGAGATGGCAGGAGGTTGCAGGGGGAAGAAGTGGGGGGAGCAGAGAGCAAGGGGGCCATCTGACCCTTCCCAACCACCTGACACCCCCAGCCATTGTTTTCCCTGCTGTAGCAAGTGAGAAGGGAATGAACTCAAGAAAACCCTCTGATAATTAGATTCTTTACCTGGAAAATTATAACAGATGTATACATTTTCCATATATAAATCTAATTATTGTGGGGTCATCTTAAATTCAGGGTCATCTTAGATTAGAGTAACTATGGTAGTTGACTCAGATTTGGATCTGATTTAACTGACACCATACAATGAAATATACATTCTTCACTGACAGTACCAGAGTGACATTGTTGCTTTCCTCACACCTTTATACACTGTTCTTACAAATATCATCTCTGGGATTCTGTACTTTTCCTTTAAACACACATTTCTCTATTTTAGGCTCTGAAGTATCTGGATTACATATTTACGGGGGTCTTTACTTTTGAAATGGTGATAAAGGTAAGAATCTCTCCACATGTAATTGTTCAATATTTCAGATTTACTGTGATACATTTCCAGGAATCTGGAGCAAAGGATGTGAGCAGAACAGAGATGCAATTGATGCTCATAATAAAGAATAAGAAGAAGTGTCTATCAGGAATAGGTCTCAAAAATAGATAGTACACGGGCATATGCCATACTAGCAACTGGCTTTAATTACTGTATTGTTCTCCAGTATATCAGTTATGGTTATGAAGAAAATCTCAAAAATGTGAATGAAGGGCAACATAGAAATGTGTGTGTAGATCCAGAACTGTCTGGACTGGTAGTTTTGACAAATGTACCTTGTCCCCTTCATGTCAGAGAGTGGCTGATTCAGAGTTCCTGTTATGACAGCTGGAATGTCAGCATCGTTAACTATTCCTTCTCTCGCATAAGAACAGAGGGAGGGAATCATCTGTCAGCACCATGTTTTGAGTAATGTCTTGTTTTTATGTCACTAGCAATTTAAAGAAATCATTGTGAATGGGGAACCAAATTCAAGAAGCCTTTAGGTACCAAATAGCGTGCACAGTTGTACCTTGAATCCCTGAACAGTCTCCTGTGACTGACTGAATCATTTTGCTCATTCACATGGGTTGGAGATTATTTTGTGAGCTGAGCATGAAAGTACATCACAATCTTTCCCCCCGTAATTTTAACCCTCACGAGAAATATCTTTTTTTTTTCTTACGTGGCATTTCTACATTAACCTGACTTCATTTAATTAAGGGCAGGACTGTACTGCGTAGACACTGCTGACATAACCCATATAGTGGGGCACCTCTCTGCCTCTGCAGGAGCTCCAGAAGACATTATGTTCCAGAATGAATGTCTTAGGACATCCAAACTTAATTCCTAGTAATAAAGCTAATGAATAGTAACCTAAAGAATCCAGCCTTAAAAAAAACCCAGACATGTATTTGCCTGCCTGTTGGGCATAAGGAGGATTTAAAAGTGTATAAGGTGAGTATCTCTTGGCTGGCCAGACTTGAAATCTTTGGGAGTCTATAGAAGAGCAGATACAAGCTTTTGTGAGCATCTTCAGGCCCAATTCCATGTATTTCTTAGCAGTAGTATGGGTAAAAAGAAAAGAAGCCTCTTTCACAGAAATCAGCCAGGCTGTTATCTAGTACTCTGTTTTTCAGCAGACACTACTAAGTGGGTATTTTGTCTTCATTAGATGTTGCATTTGGTTGTTGGGCCTTGCAGGCCTCAGTTTCTTTCAAATACTTGTTCATTTTTCTTCCTCTTATCCTCTTTTGCTGCTTGTTAATTCCCATTAATCCTTCTGGGTTGGTGTTGAATAAAAGCATCACAGTTCTTTTACATGTAGACTGAACTTCTCATAAGTATGTGCGAGCTAGTCTGAAGATCCCCTTTTAGGTGTTAATATTCTTGTCTAGAATGATTCTAATTAAAGTCTATTGGCTTAAGCTTTGGGTTTGGTAGAGCTCTGCCTACTCTAGCAAAGTAGTTTGTCTTCAGCAGAGCTGCCTCTATGGGTATGTTTTAATTTAATTTTATTCTGTGTATTTGGTAACGCACAAGAACATCACAATATAGTATACAGGTATTAAACAATGTGCAAGGAAACAGTACAGGCAAATGTTTATTTATGAGAAACTTAAGGGAATAAAAGTGCTCTATTCTCAGTGTAATCTCATTATTCATTGTAGCCAACATGAATTAGTTTCCTCCCCTCCCCACCAGTAAGAAAAAGCTAGGACTTTGAATGTAAAGGGGTGTTTCAAGTCATGATTAAAAATTATACAGTGCAGTGACAAAGCTGTGTGTAGGAAGCTTACCTACTGTCTGCCCACACTGCTTATGCCTTTAGACAACATCATTCACTTCTGAAGTACTAACTTCTCTCTCTAAATTACAGAAACAAACCTCCCTTTCCTGTACTAATAAAAAGAAAAACATTGCTATAGTTTAACATTGAAAAGGGGAGGTTGGAAGGATCTAAATCATTTGATCCAGGACATAGATTCGTATCATTGTATGTACTGTATGTTGCTGCTAACCATCTCCAATGGAATCAGCTCTCACAATTTTATATTTGGTGTTTTGATCTGTTCCCTCCAAAGATGATTGACTTGGGTCTGCTGCTTCACCCTGGCTCCTATTTCCGTGACCTGTGGAACATCTTGGACTTTATTGTGGTCAGTGGGGCCTTGGTGGCATTTGCCTTCTCGTAAGTACATTTTCTTTAAAACCCAAGTTTCTCGGAAAAGAGGGCAGCCACTGAACTAGAGTCATATAAAGCTCAGGATTTGTGGTTCATAAATGATTCCTGGTTTCTACTGACTCAGTTTTTTATTTTAAGTTTCGTGGGTGACCAAACTAAAACTTCAAAATGAAATTTCCAGCTTCTTACTGTTTTATCCCTTTAAACTTGGGGAGAAGAATGTTCATAAACTAGCCTAAATGTTTGGAGTATTATAGAATCCATGGAACACTTGACCCTGATTGATTTTGTTTCCATCTTCTTCTCAGCCAAAATTTAGCCATGGTTTGAGATCTAATAACACACCTTTCCCAAGTTGTAAGGCCTCCTCATAAAAGTTCTCGACATTTTTTCAATCGTGTTTTAAAGTTAGTCTTATTGAGGAAAAATAATCAAAGGAGACTGAGCCACTTAAGAAAGTATACATTTTTTCACACGATAATTGCATATATTTTAAATGTTCATATGGAAACTTCAGATTTCATCGCATACATCTGTTTTATTATATACATCATGGCTTTACCCTAAAGATCAGCTGATGTTTTATCAAACTTTAAAAACAATATTTTTAGAATCACAGTGCTGCTTCTGCTTCATGCATTTTCTGTATTTCTCTCTCATTCTTTGTGATTAAAGATGTCTGCGTGGCAACAATATCTTGGTTTCTACCGAGTTCCTCTTCTCTTGCTGCTTCTTCACTATCTCCAACCATTATCCTCTATTTATGATATCAAAATAATTTCCCAAACCACCTACTGTACTCTTGCAGAGAATTTTGATCTCAGGTAGGAAATGAGCTATAGACATGTATCAATTATTAAAGTCAAGGATCCTTTTTTTATTCAACTATCCCCATTAGGAGAGATTATAGTAAGAGAAATACAAACACTCACAATACAATCTGACTGCAGGAGGAGTCCCGGAGGAAAGCTTTCCCCCCTTTTAATATTGGGAAATTGTATTATGAGGGTTTCAAGAAATGACCTAGATACAGGTTATTTGATTGACAAACCCAATTTAATATTAAATTAGCCTTGAAAAATTACCATGAGCATTAATCAATTTGTTTCCAAGATCCATTCATCCACTCATGAGGATCAGCAATAATTAAGAAACCTATAGTATTTTACTTGCCTGTCAAAATGTGCGTTCCTTCTTATCAGCTGGGTAAGTGGAATTGTGCAAAGTGGACTTGTATGGTGCAGAAGTGTAATCGGTTTTAAACAAACAGCCAGATTCACTGATAAGTTGGTGACACAAAACAAACATAAACTTAGCATAACCAACCAATCAGGGAAGGCACCATCCTGGTTGCTTTTCATCCCTGGAGCTATATAAAGTTGCCAGAGCCTCTTTATGAACCTGGTCCAGAATATTTTCCAGAGTTTTTTCCTTCTTCTGTAGTGTCAGAATTCCTTCCATGTTGTGTGCAGGCCTGTGTTTTAGATCGTCTGTTGTAGTTCAGCAGCTGCTGCTAGGAAAAAAAAAAGTCCAAGGTGATTTATTTTCAGCCATGGAGTCAAGTAACATAGGAAGTACAGAGTTTATATTAGGGGCAGGCAATTATTTGGGCCTGTGGGCCACATAGGCAGTGTATTATAGAATCCTCCACCCTTGGAATAGCCTGCAGCCCATGTGCCCTGTGGCTTCTCCCCACCACCACCACCAACACACAGCCCCAGCCCTGACTCCGGCCCACCTTACGCCCGCTCTGGACTCACCAGAGCTGGAGTGGACCAGCCAGAACCTGCACGTACAGCCCCAACCCTGGCCTGGACCGCATCTGCTCCAGATCACCCAGCCATGCTGAGCAGCAGCAGCAGGGGCCAGGCAGAAGCCCCTCCCCCTCCCCCTCCCCAGTGTCAGGCCCTTCTTGCTGCCGCAACCTGGAGCCCATGCCTAGGCTGCCCTGTGGCTCCTCTCTGACACCATCATCACCACCACCTCCAGGTCACCCAGCAGGGCAGTGGTGGCAATGCAGAGAAGCCACAGTTCAGCCTGGGCACAGGCTCCAGGTGACTGCAGCAAGAAGGCCCCAGCAGGGGAGGGGCCACTTTTCCCCCATGCTGAGCAGCAGCTTCTGCCCTGCTACTGCTGCTACTGCTCAGCGTGGGCAGGTGAATCTGGAGCATGTGCGAAGTGGGCTGGGGTCAGGGCTGTGCACACAGGTTTTAGCTGGTCGAGCTGATCCAGTCCACTGGGTTGAGTCTAGAGCATGTGCAGAATGGGATAGGGGTGGGGCTGTGCATGCAGGTCCCCACCAGCACCACAGGGTTGAGGCCAGCAATGGCAGGAGCCACAAGGAGCTGTCACCAGTACCTGGGCTGCCTAGTAATGCAGTCCAGCTGTGGAGCTGCCCCCACCCTGCTGCATGACTAGGAGACAGCAGGATGTGCCACAGGCCAGACAGTGCCTCTGCCAGGCGGGACCAAGAAACCCACCGTGAGCTAGACAAAATCCCTCTGTGGGCCAGATCCAGCCTGCAGGCCATATTTTGCCCACTCCTAGTTTACATCATAGTATTTTATTTTCAAATCGGTTGAGAAGGGGCAGCCTTTTCTCCCAGGAAGAGAAAACTGGAGATGGGGCATCAGAAAGTTGTAAATCAGATAAGCAAATTCTTTTATCCTCAAGATTTGGATTCAGCAACTTGACTGCAACAGTTCTTTCTATTTCAGCATATGACCAAACTGGATAATCTGCTGCTACTAAATAAAGGTGACAATGTCAAGTATTCTGCAGAATAGAGAGTTGGGACCTGGGATTTCTATCTTTTATTCCCATTTTGGCTGTTAAGGAGCTTTTTGATCTTTGGAACTAGTCATTTTGATGCAGTAATTTCAGAAATGGGCTCTGATTTGGATTGTCCAGTGTTTTGCAAACCCATCTTTTAGATACCTGAAACTTGGCTTTTAGAGAGGCTGAGCATTCATAACTCCAGGTGAGGTCATAGGGGATGCTCAACACCTCTAATGTTCAGGCCTTGGGTATGCAAAATTGGGTGTAAAATGTAGAGGCCAGTGTTGAAAGTCTCACTACCTTTAAAATTGTTCATTATACTAACACTTACCGACATTGAGTACAGTAAGCTTCAGTTAATTATGGTTTGCAACGTATTTTGATATCTGTAGAAGAAAGGTGATACTGAAAGAGATAAATGTTTTCAGTTTTAAATGTCATCTTTTCGGGAAATATTGCACAAGCACATGATCCATTCCAAATTCCTGATCTCATTCTCCAGTAAGAAATTCTGTTTATTGGTGTGTCTGGGACAAGGGGAAACCAGAGAGATTATCGAATTAGAATAATTTTGTGTTCTTAAAACCAGTGTGAAGGGTTATCTTGAAACACTTTCCCTACAAAACTCTGATTCTCTTAAGATGTTATAGAACTCTCACAGATTTATGAACTCTTTTACCTTGCTGAGCAAATAATTTCTGATAAAAGATTAATGGCTTCTGCTCATTTTAAAAGGCCATTGCTTTTCTGTTGGTTGCATTGGCTATCGATTTCTAAAGGTATAATATCAGTTGCTACAACTTACTTATGTGTCCCAAAGCTGTACTTCATGGCAGTTTGTCTTGTGTTGCATCAGTGCTAAATATCCTTTGAGTAAATGTTGAAAAGATGTTTATGGAAAGGTTCAGAGCAAGGGTACAGGACTCTTGAACATGCATATTTTGAGAGAAAGTAATGGCAGGTGGGTAAAACGGCTTGAATGAAATATGGACCCACCTAAACTTTCAGAGTTGAATTGAATCAAACTTTTTTGAAACCTGGGAAAGTTTAAAACATTGTTTTAGCTATAGGTTTGTCTATAGCCTGTATATTCTGACAAGGACTGGAGGGAGTGAAATCCCATGAGGGACACAACTCATGGCATTTTTGAAGTAATGGCTACAGGAAGTACCACCAATCTAATGAGGCAGCTTGTTTGGCAGAGGTTTTTCTAGCTCAGTTTTGCAAATGTATAAGACAATTGAGATGAAGTGTAAATAATCATTCCAGGTCCTTGGGTGTTCATCAAAGGACACAGACTCAAGCAAAACTTTAAAAGTTCAGTATCATTAGAGATTAACTTGATTTGGTAAATGAGCAGGGTGATCTTTCTTTGTTTTGTTGGGTATTTCATTACTAAATATTCAAGCTGAGTAACCAAACTAGGATATTATTGGTTTTTATTTTGCATTTCCTGATTGTCATGTACAACAAAATAATTTGACTACCTTTTGCCAAACTCCATTTAATTTGCCAAATAAATTCTCTTGGCCTCATTTGAACATTGTTGATCTATATTCACTTTCTTACCTAATGAACATGTCATGGGGACCTGTCAAACCAGCTCATTCAGAAAACTTGATTACTGGAGCATTGAAATCAACTCATCTATTTTAGGAATACAGTTGTAAATCTTTGTTTAAGCTTCAGTGTGCTTGCCCCTCATTATCATACCCTACCTACCACAGTCTGCCAACTTCTGCTTGCAGTTTCCAGAATGTATCTGTACTTTTCTAAGTACATCTCCAGGAGATGCTAGTAGGAAATCAGTAATAATGATAAAAATATACTTCTTCCACATAACAATATCTTTCCGATTGGAAGTACCCTTCTGTCTCGTGAGATAAACATGACGTGAACACAGAGTTGTAATTTTAATCCACAGAGAAATGGAAGCTGAGGACTTTAAAAACTTCCTTGTACATTTATCATCAAAATCTATTATCCAGAGGCATAACATCTATTTATTTATTCTAACCAGGGTGAATAGAAAAGAACTATAAAGTTACTGTATTTGTACATCAATCACAACAACAAAAATTCTACCCCAGATGCGCAGAATTTTGCACTGATGATTTAAACTCAACGGATTTACTGTAATTTGCTTAACAATGACATTTATTTCTTCCCAAAGTAACAGCAAGATAAAAGCATATTGGTGCTATCTGTTTGTTAATGCAAGCTTAATA